TAAGATAAAACAAAACAGAATTCTCATCCTCCGTATTTCGCATTGCCACATACTTTCGGGGAGAGAAGATAGCCACATACTCTACCTAATTTCTTCAGAGTTTGGCGCCCCCACAGTTCCACTTCCTCAAAGCAAAGCAAACCCAACCTTTTTCTCAAAATAATAATAATAAATAAATAATTATTGTATAATTTAAATTATATTAAATTATATAATAAAAATTATTAAATAAAAAATAAATCTCTTAATATTAAAATTCTATTAATTCATCTATTTTTATTTACAATTCATTACCATCCAAATTATAAAATAAAAAATCAAATCAAATCTTTAAATTTAATGATTCATTTTTAAATTTTAAGTGTTTAAATTTCATTTATTAAAAATTTAACTTCAGCTAATAATTTAAAAAAATATCCACCATTTTTAAATTTCCCAAAGTTAAAAAAAATTATAAAATAAAAAATCAACCATCATCTTTTTCATCATCCACCCTTTTTCCTAAAAATCCAAATTTAGTAAAAAAAAATTACTCTTTATGGGAAAAAAAAAAACTTGTTTTATACGTGTATACATTTGCCCTTGTCTGTCAATTCCTAGAACGACAGCTAATCCTCCAACACATCGATTCTCCAAAACGCACGTGTACGGACCACTTTCAGTGTCCAAACTCCAAACAAAAGAGTCGAAGAACAATAAGCCTAATCAATAATTTATTAATTTGAATAAAAAATTTTATTTTTTAAAATAAATTTTTAAATTTTATAAAAAAAATATTAAAAAGTATTTTTTTAATAAAATTTGATGTATTTTAATTTTAAATTAATTAAAAATTAAAATAATTACTTAATACTAAGAAGTCAATAAATATATATATAACCCATGAGTAGGTGAATTAGTTAATAATGTATTCTTTTAGCTTAATCAAAAATTTTGATTTCAAGTCTTAAAAATGTAACTTCATTAAAACTTGTGAGGAGAGTTTTACCGTCCATTAAATCTTGCTCAATTCAAATTTAAATTAATTAGTGACTCAATAAATTTCTGAATATGGTGGTTCATAAAAAAATATATATATACACCAAGCCCTATTGACACCGTACGGCTCGTGCTGCAAAATATATGGAAAAAAACTCCAGGGTGGTGTTATTGCCACAGCCACTACTGTTAATACCATAGTTTTTTTTAATTATTTAACTATTATACCCCTCATTTGAATCCAACTTGCAGCAGTCACCACCACCTTCTCTGCGTGGGTTAATGGTCAATTAATTAAAAAAGCTGTGGTGTTAACCTGTGAAGCTGTGGAAATAACACCACCCCTCCAAAACTCCACCTCTCTAGGCAACACAGATAAGACAAAACTAGCCCGGTATTTCAACGGTTATTTATTATTTGCTCCCTTAGACTATTCTTCTTCTCTATTTCTCCTCCTCCTTTTTCTTGGTCTGTTGTGAACTCCTCCTCCTTTTTCTTGGTCTGTTGTGGAATTCCATTTCCATGACATTTTGGTAAAACCCCATCTCTTGTTTCTTTTCCTCACTCAGGAGGTGGAAGAGAAAGAAAAACACGGACAGGCTCTGATTTTCCTCTGTAATTCACAAGCAGGGTTGAAGGAGGTATGTGTTCTTTACCTTTTGGGAAGATGAAATTTTGTGTTCTTTGATCCTTGTAGATGTTGTTTAGAAAAGGGGATTGTGTTTTCCATATGGCTTTTAATCTTTACTGTTTCATATGTGTCGGTGCATAAGTTTCAATTCTCATCTTGTTTAGTGTTCCTTGGTTTAGGATTTGATAGAAAGCTTGATTTTTGGGCAGCTAAAGAACTCCCAACATAGTTTTATGACTAAATTTTAGTAATGCAAAAGTAATATCTTTCTGGATCAACTGAGGAACAAATTAGAAAAATTAAAATTTGTGATTTTGTAGAGTGGGTACTGGGTAGCTTTGGTCAAAGTTTTGGTACTAGGCAGAGCAAGGAGCAGAATATGGTTCTTGTGTTTTCTTCTTATTGGACCATGATATAGCTACCTTTAGGCTGTAGGTGTAGGAGGTCAATTTTTTCTCCTTGGTTGTTGGAAAGGCTTGTGGGAGGTTGAATCATGCTTCATCTGTGTATAAAAAGTGGTACAAATTGCATGACAACCTAACGATCAAAAAAAAAAAAAAAAAATTGCATGACAACCTAACACCGTTAGATGTTTCCTTCAACCATCTCAAAATAATCCAACGTTGGTTAATAAGGTGGGCAATGCTTATTTCTCCTTCTTCCTCTTCTTCTTCTTCCTTTCTTTCTTTTTTTTTTGAATTAAGAGCTTGTAATTTCATGATCTGTGCCATGCTTTATCCCTTATGTTTCAATCTTTAAATTTGTTTTTCGTTTTTCTTAATTAATTTATTCCTTCTACAAATCTTAACAGAAAAGTTTCCTCTCACTTGTTATTTCCAGATTTTTTACCATGTTTTCTTGGAGGAGTAATTCTCAGCATGACCAAGAGAATGATTTGCTACATTCTGAGTCCAAGGTAATAAGTTGGGAATTGCATTAGCAGTTGATTTATTGGACTTATACATTGGCATGGTTCCCTTTGGAGTTATTATATACTTGGTGATCATAGCTTTTACCTGATAACACAAACAGGTCAAGGAGCTTAGGGCTGCACTTGGACCGCTATCTGGACGCAGTTTGCAGTACTGCTCTGATGCATGCTTGAGAAGATACTTGGAAGCTCGAAACTGGAATGTAGGCAAATCAAAGGAAATGCTTGAAGAGACGCTCAAATGGAGATCAACCTATAAGCCGGAGGATATACGTTGGGTAATTAAGTTGGATTTGGGTATTTTCTTTTTTGGACTTTTAGAAAAGACTTAATTGAAATGGTTCTGTTGCCAGCATGAAGTTGCAGTTGAAGGTGAGACTGGGAAAGTGTACAGAGCGGGTTTTCATGACCGTCATGGTAGGACTGTTCTCATTTTGCGACCAGGAATGCAGGTGTTATGCATTATTAATTCAATACAAAATGGAGGAGTTCAATTTTTTTGCTTTGTTTCTGGGAATTGACATGACTAGAAATGTGCAGAACACAGCATCACTGGACAATCAGATTCGGCATTTGGTGTATATGATAGAGAATGCCATCCTAAATCTTCCAGAGGATCAAGAACAGATGGCCTGGTTGATAGACTTCACTGGATGGACGTTGAGCACATCTGTTCCTGTCAAATCAGCCCGAGATAGCATCAACATTTTACAGAATCACTACCCTGAGAGACTGTCCGTGGCATTTCTCTACAATCCCCCAAGGATTTTTGAAGCATTTTGGAAGGTTCAACTTCCACCCTCTGACTGTAGCACAGTTGCTCCCTATGTTAATTTAACAAGGATTAACTAGCTCTGCTTCCATTGCTGCAGATTGTTAAGTATTTCTTGGATGCTAAAACCTTTCAGAAAGTGAAGTTTGTATATCCAAAGAACAAAGACAGTGTGGAGCTGATGAAATCATATTTTGATGAGGAAAATCTTCCAATAGAATTTGGAGGGAAAGCTATATTGCAGTACAACCATGAAGAATTCTCCAAGATGATGGTACAGGATGATGTGAAATCCGCCAACTTGTGGGGGTCCGATGACAAACTCCAAAGTATTGGTAACGGGCATTCTGGGGCTGAGGTGGCTCCAGAACCAGCCTGCCATGCTGCTCCAGCCAGCTGAGTGACTTCCTTCCCCTTTAACTTCTGGCAATAAGTTAACAGTCTTAGATCTTACTAATGTGAGATGGTCACCCTGAAAAGTGACCATTTCCTAAACTAACAGAAGCTGTTATCGATCTTCCTCTTTTCCCCTATAATGTACTTAAACTGCTCATCAATCTGCAGACATCTCTAATGAATAGAAGATAGGTTCATAATGCCCTTTTTTTTTATTGAATTCTATCTACACTTCTAACACGCCTATCTTCTTTGGATTCTCTTGTTTACAAATAAGGCTTCTTTTAATTTGTGCTTTAAGGGTTTTAAAAGAATAAAAATTGACATTTAATTTATCAACTATAATTAAATTTATAAACGTCATAATGATATTAACATTAATGTTAACTTTTATATTTTTTTCATAAAATTTTATGATAAAAAAAATATTCTTAACCTATTTCCTAAAAAAACTCTACAAATAATTCTGTTGTACTTCTTTGAATGAAATGTGATTGCTTAAGGGAAAAATTCCTTTGTTACATTACTGATTATGTCTCTGTGATGACAAAACAGATTTATTCACAAGGAAATACAAGTTCATACAAACACCTAAATGAACAACTCATCATATTAGAAGTTCTAGAGAAGTGTAAGCAGGAAATAGTGGGGGGAAATCACTGTTAGCTAGCTACAAAGGGTAACAAGTCAAAATCAGCTGTCAAAGATGCATCTTTGTGAACAAGAGGAAGTTAGAATGTATTTGGATTTTGGAGGAGTTATCACAGAAGCCGCCTTTTGAAGTTTTGAGTGGTAGCATGGTAAGAACGAACCAGCAATCCGACTCCTATACCTATTCCGAGACAAATGCCGAGCCCAATCCCTACACCAACCCTTACCCCTGCATTGAACCATGAGAGTTCACCTTCCTCACCATCCATGTATTCTGTCCTCCAGTACATGTTGCTATAGTCCTCATTATATTCCTGTTTCAAGTTACTGTATTCTGCTACCTGCAAATGGAAATTAGAAACTATAACTAGTATTTTTGACTTTTTTGGCCAACAAATTTTAAGTAGTTAGATATAGGCAAAATCACTCAAACCAGATGAAACCAATTCTAGATAATTGATAGCTTAACCAATCAATCTCCCTCTCTAAACAGGTGGTAACAAGAAAATGACCAGAAAGAGCCAAGGAGATGAGTCTCACTCATGTGGAGGGCACTGGTGTGGCTGTTGTGGGCCTATAAACGTCAGACAAACAATGCAACAGAAAAGGAAAGGGGTAGTTGAATACTGTCTATCTCATCACTTGAAAACCGTGCCCTACCAATACACCATGACATATTTGGATCATATTCCCTAATTTATGCATCAGATCTTGGCATATTGCAAGTTATGGGACTGATTTTTCAAATTAATGAGGATGTTTCAAGACGGGATGCAAGAGAAAATTAATTAAAGCTAATGAATCCAGAGAAGACTAAAAAGATATGCAGCAGAAAACTTGATCCAAAATCCAACTGAGAATATGTCATCAAAATCAACCAATTTAAGGTTACATGAAAGAAATGAAATTTCAGTATTGCTTTTGTCTAGTATGTTACCTGTGGACCATGTTCAGGTAAGGAATCTTTACGAAATTCTGTTGTGTCATACTCATACTCCGGTATTGAGTCTAACATACGCTTTCTATTATGCTTCTTCCTAGAGCTTAGCTGCAGTGTTTTCGTCAAGATGATTGGTCTCCCTGAGAAGCAACCCGCAATGTAGACCTCAATGGCTGGTAATGGGAATCCAGAACTCGTGAAGCTCTTTCCCTTTAAGAATCCAGTGGCAGCAGTGATATCTGATTCACAATTCATGCTCCACCTCTTCATGTTATTTTTTGATTCCCCAGTGAAGCCATTACCATTAGACATCTCCAGAACCCCGGAAAGTATGAGATCATCCTTATGAAACACTTCAAATTTCACGCTTCCTGTGAACCTAATACCATCTGTGCTCACAAATATGGCTTCTTCTGATATCTTATCTACCCTATCTCTTCTAAGGAGTGAGGAGACTCCATCAGAATACATACCAATTCTAGCCCCATTAACTTCTAGAAGGGTATCTGGGCTTAGAGGAATGTGATTAAGAGTGAGAAACTCTGGCGTTATATCATCAACCAGAAAATTGCTGATCCTCACATAGAAGACTCTCAAATCAAACCATGGTGATGACGATTTGGTGCCAAGTTGGAATGGAGAGTATCTGCTAATCTGAAGTCCATGATCAGCCACATCACCATTGATAGGTGTTTTACAAGGATCCTCCATGACTCACTCAGGAATTAGATCCTAAAAACTCTTCAAAATCAATTCGAACAATAACACTGGAACAACCATACAAATTGGTGTCGGATTGGTAGTCAATACCTGTTTCAAGTTTAAAACAGTATATGCTACTCAGATAATCACTATTGAAAATTCTTCTCCCAAATTCATAGAACCAACAAACCCAAGGACCGCTGGGCAAAAGGTAGCCAGGAAAGAGATTAGAGAAAAAGGAAATCTACCAACATTTTAGGAACAGAAACACTTGAAAAAAAAAAGAATGCACGATCTGCTCTAATTTATCGCTGGAATTAAAGAAAAAAAAGGTCTAAAATTTATATGTGAAAACTGTGGAAAGAACAGAGCAAGAAAAAAATCTGAAAACAATTTTCAATTACATCACTAGATTTCAGCCCAGGAACAAGATCAGTTCAAATGATTAAAACCCATGTCTGGTTTAAATAAGGATTGATTTTTCAATTAGAAAGAAAACCCAACAAGCACTAAGATCAGAAAGAAAACATTCATAGAAACAAAGTAATTTCCATTAGGAAATTTAAAAAATAGAAGGTACCCACCAGCAGCTGACCATGCAAGTCAGCAACTAAGCCAACCTGAATCTCATCATGCCATTAAATTCAACGCAAGAAATAAGATCAAACTCACACTTAGCTCACTTAGCTCTTTTCTTCTCTTAATCCAAAAGGAGAAATAAAAATAAAAAGAATAAAGAATGACACACAACGAAGTTACCAACAAAACAGCCGGCAATTCCCAAATAACACAACATATGACAAAACAACAATACAACAAAACACCCATCAGTATCTAGAAACAGCACCACAAACTCATCAAGAAAAAAAAAATTGCTTACCAGGAAAAATTTCCATCCACAAATCCCAATTTCTTCAGATCAGTGATTCCCCAAATCGCTTTCCCCCTTAAGATCAAAGCTTCAGATCTTCCGGGCCAAATTCGTGGGGCTACACATAACACATGGAAAGACCAAATCTTCAAAATCTCAGAACCCTCAAGTCATTTACTTACAAAGGTCTCACCTTTTTCTTTTCTTTTGACGTTTAGATTATTATATAGGTGGTAGTGTTCTTGATATCACCAACATGGGTGTCCCAGAAATCTGAAACACAGTATGATAGGACTCATCTGATGGATTTTCTTATTCATTTTTTGGGTTTCTTTCTATGGACTGATGAGCGGAAATGGGCATATGATCCGATGACCTTATCCGATTAGCGGACATCAGAATCTTTTGCAATAAGGAGGTCGGTGTTGTCTGAAAGGGATGTTGTTACTTCTTACTTCTTGCCTCTCGGACAGTAATCAACGGCTCTGTTGCCAGCCAGCTTCATGTTCGTTGCACGATTGGGCCTCAAGATGAAAACATTTAGATATGGACCTATTATACAGGGCCGAATGCAGGGTTTGTGCCTTTGTGGGTAATAGGAATACTACTCTCTTGGCCTAATGCAATTTCCTCTTTTTTCTCCTTTCTCCGGCGTTCAGGTTTCAGTCTGAAAAATAAAATGACTTATTAATGGGAGAAAAAAAAAAACTTTATTTTTTTTTTTCACCAAAGTGACAAGGGTGAGATTCGAATTTTGAACCCACCAGGGAAGGGGAACTGCACCTTTAAAGTAGTCTGAAGGCCACTTGACCTGAAGGATTAGGTGCAAAAAAAAATTTTTATTTTTCTTAAATAAAATTTTGAATTTGTACACTTTTTTATAAGATCTGTTCTATTTTAATTTAAAATTAATCAAAATTTAATGTAATTCCTGTATAACACAAGTTGGTTAAAAAAAAAAAAGAAGCAAAGGTTGACTGGTCTGCTAAGGGATTGTTTGGTAGAATTTAAAAGAAAACTCTGCCTGCCCATAAATACTCAACTTGATCTATTAAATCTATGCTGCCTATACATTGACTTTAGGATGAACTAAGAAGCAATAATCTCTAATTTTTTTTTCATTCCATCAATATATTGTACAATTTATCTTCTACTTTGTTATAAATGAGTTACATGGTTAGCTGAACTTTTAATAGTTTACTTTAAACTTTTTATTATTATTTTTTTAATATTGAGATTGACTCGATGAAATTCATCACCTCTTTAATTTGCTTTGAATTTGGCTTTCTATATAAAAGTTAAAGAATTGGCATTCTCAATTATAAAATTGAATGAGGAATCCCTCCTCTCCCCCCCCCCCCCCCCAAAAAAAAAAAAAAAAAACTAGAAGAGCACTTTATATACTAGTTTGGAAAATTTGAAAAAATAGTGTCCTTATTTGCCTCTTTCAATTTCACCTACCATTTTGAAGCGGGAAGACAGCAAGGGTGTGGTCCTGCCCTATTTCTCTGGTTTAGAAAAATTTCCAAACTCAAAAAAGAACTACTCGATTTCCGGATCTCTGTATTCCGGCGAGCTCCCTCCGTGTTATTCTCTGCAGCTTTGCAAGAATCTGCGCTACAGGAGAGATCCAGGATCCGAAATTTTTCCTGGGTCTTCTTCATTTTCTCGTAAGCATCGCCCTGCCTATGTATTGTTTTGATCTTCAATTATTGAAGGAATGTAGTTGTATATCATACAAATTCGAAGTGGGTTTCACGTTCCAAGCAAAAAAAATTGAATTTTGGTTGTTCTTATGAGAAGATGCTTCTTTATGGTTGTTTGTTTTAGGGTTTTATGCCATTTAATAGTGTATTGATGCTAGCCTTTTTGTGGATTGTGGTTAAGAAGTAGATAAATTTAAGTAAGAAAGTGATGGTTGATTTGAGTGGTAAATGAATATGCTAGTGAATTGATTCTGGGGTTGCATTAACCTTAGCTGTTTTGTGTTTCAAGATTTCTCTAGTGCAAAGTTCAGGTTAGTATGTAAGGTTGGGTTCTTTTATGTAGTCTCATTGGATTGGTTTACTGCAAATCTTTCTGTTTTCCATTCCTAGTCCTGCTTGGAGCCTTCTTCTAGGAGTTTCCTAGAGCTTAGTATTGATTTGTAGTTCAAATTGGTTACAGACTTATTAGAGGATGGGAACTTCAAGTTAGAGTGATTTAGGTGGCTGTGGTATGAACCCCTTGTTTGGTTCCTTTCGGCTTTCCTTTTTCCTTTTTCAGAGAGTGGCGAAAAAGGTTGGTACTTATAAGCCAAAGGTCAGTTTTCAGTGTATTTAACAGAGGACGTACAATTCAAGCTGTTTATGAGAGTTTTTTGCTAATCTATCAGACACGGTATCCAATACGGTCCAAATAGATTGCATTTTGCACGAGACTGTCGGTGGAATAGTCTTGTTTAGCTAATTTTGTATGATGTTGGATTATAGATTTTAATTGGATTTATGAGTTGCTACGATATTATTATACTTTTTGTTGAGTGATTGTGAGTCAGTTTCAAATTTAGCTGGTTAAAAGCTTTTTTTAATAATTATAGTATTTGATTGTTCAACAAATTGGCTTAATGATTGTTTGTTTTGGGGATTAATCTCATGTACTGATGGGGTTGTCTTTGGCTGATGAAAAGTGTTCAAACTGCATCATTCAAGATTACCTTCAATTGTGTTTGATGACGGATTACCTTCACTCTCAAAATCTCATGTAGTTCTTAAATACTTTGTCCAGACACAACTTCTATGTTTGGATGATTGACATATTCTAGGTTGAATGTTCATTGATATGCATATCAGCATGCCAAGTATTTACTACTTACATGAGTTGGGGAATTTTAAGAATATTTATGACATTTTTTGAGTAGGTTATGGCATACCCAGAACCTATGAATACAGAGAAGGAGCTGGCAGTGGGACGAGTAAACCCTCCTTCTTCCAGGAAGCCAAGGATTTTACTTGCTGCAAGTGGAAGTGTGGCTGCCATAAAGTTTGCAAATCTCTGCCACTGTTTTTCTGAATGGGGAGAAGTAAAAGCAGTTGCCACAAAAGCGTCTTTGCATTTCATTGATAGGGCAGCACTTCCTAAAGATGTAATTCTTTATACTGATGAGGATGAATGGTCCAGTTGGAGTAAAATAGGTGACAGTGTGCTTCACATTGATCTTCGACGATGGGCTGATGTTATGGTTATCGCTCCATTGTCTGCAAACACTCTTGGCAAGGTAATATGATTGGCTATCTTGCCTTCTGATAGAAATGAATGTCAAATGTCAATCAAATAGCTGAAAATACTAATTGCCTTGTTTGGACTTTTTATATTTAACCTTGATCTTAAGCAGTTTTTGACCTTTTAATACCTCCTGCAGATTGCTGGGGGATTGTGTGACAATCTACTAACGTGCATTGTCCGAGCATGGGACTACAGCAAGCCACTCTTTGTTGCACCCGCTATGAACACTTTTATGTGGAAGAATCCTTTCACAGAACGACATATCATGACCCTTGATGAACTAGGTGTTTCTCTTATTCCACCCGTCACAAAGAGGCTAGCTTGTGGGGATTATGGCAATGGAGCAATGGCCGAACCTTCTTTAATCTACTCAACTGTGAGACTCTTCTTCGAATCTCGTCCTCTACCAAGTGAATGAAGAGTTAAGCTAATTAGGTATGCAATATAGAAAATGCTCCTAAGATGTTTCTTATCCCATTAATTCCATGTGTATTAGATGCATTGCTGCTCTTCGCCATTCGTTGAGCTTACCTAGTTACCTTCCTGTACAAGTGTACATCTACATACATTCTCTTCTCATTTGAGTTTCTTTGATAGTTTGAACTACACCTCAACAGCAATGATCTTGAACATTTTGGAACATACATACTAGATCTTGTAGGTTGTTGTCTTGATATTGATTTTGAATTGCAGAAACTGTTTATTCTTCTTAAAATGCTTTCTTTCATAGTTGCCCTATTTGTTCTCTCTTGATATATTACCTAAAAATATATATTGAAAAAGTATGTTATACGTCGGACTTCACTTTTAATTGCAATGCATCAAATGAATTTATTAAAATATTTTTATTAAAACTATTTCTTATGTCATTTTATTAATGATAACTTAGTAATTTTAATATTCAACTACATTTTTAAAATGCAATTTGACTTGTAAAATATAAATTTATATATGTATGCATGCCTCTCTTTTTTCTTTTTTCTTTTTCTTTTTTTCTTTTTCCCTGTCTAGTACAACAAAAGTTACTTATAGGAGTTTAAATTCTTGACCTTATCTTAGCCTGTAAGTTAATTGAGTAAAAAAAAGTTAATAAAAAATAATGTACTTTCTAAGAAAATGTTATGCTTATAATATTGTTCATGTTATTATATAATTAATTTTAAAATTTTTTGTCAAATTAATTATAAAATAGCAATTACTTTATTTTCCTATGGCATTTAGCAATTATTATTATTATTATTTTATTTTGAGCAAATACAATTGAGGGTAAGGGGAATGAGAAATTTTTAACATGATAATATCATTACTCAAATTTTAGTTATTGTGCAAGTATTAAGTGTTTTTTAACAACTAATTTATGAGATCTAATGCAATCATAGTCATTGTTTTTTTTTTTTAAGATTATAAATTAAAGGTGGAGAGAACTAAACCCAATTTAATAAATTAGAGAATGCACCTATGAAAGGCGGTAAAGCCACTAGAGAGGTGCTATAATCATTGTTCTTTGACAGAAAAGGAAAAAACGAAATCTATGAGTCGAGCCGTACATAAATCATCCTTCATGGACGAGCTTACTCCATATTCATTCTAGTTCTTGGCCATGATCTCCACTTTCTCAATAAATTTCCACATTTCGAATGTATCCAGTGTTTTGCAGTTCGCCGCCTCAATTGCTAAATATTCCAACCTCATGATTATTCATTCTTTTGTTTGGGTAAATACCTCATGATTATTGATGATGACACTGAAAAACACCCTTTTTTTTTCATATTAAAACCAGATTTTGCTAATAAAAACTTTTTAGTGAAGAGAATCGCCCTACGTTTTGGAGACCTGAAGAGTCAGCACTCATCTTAACCATCAACTTCTACGTTTCTACCAACTTCCATACACATGAACACTACCTGAACAAAACCTCCCCGAGACGCGAGACGACACAAGTGGTCAGACTGGAGGCACAGAGTCTGAGTCATACAGTACACATAAACCCTTACCCACGTTAAAACAAACGAACAAAAAAAAAAAAAGAAGAATCAAACCCTATCCCTCCAACCATAGTTAGGTTAGCCTTACCCATTTCCCATTTTTCTCTTTAATATTTTAATTATTATAATGCTAAAACAAGGGGCTTTGATTTCCTTTTTCTCTCTTTCGACCTCATTTCCTCCAACTGCTTTAAATGAAAAATTAGGATATATATAGGGGGAGGGTTTGGATGGTTGGAAAGAGAAGAATTAATGGCTTTTTGAGCTTTCCACCTTTCTTTGTCCTTGTATCCTATTCAATCGAAACCCTCCAACTATTTCTATTGGAAAGAGAAAGAGAGATTTAATGGGGTTTCCAGAATCTTGATGTTTGTCAAAGATATTGGTCTAGTTGGTTTAGGATCTTGAGAAAGGTTGAGTCTTTGTGTGAAATAATATACCGTGGATTTTGGGGTTTAATAGATAGGGAAAAGTGTGTTTGAAGACATCCTAATAAAATTTCATTCAAGGTTTAATTTTGATGGTGTGATTTGGGTTTGGGTTTAGT